ATAACTTTTGCTCAAACAAGCCTATGATTACTTCTTGTATAGTCGATTTCGTGGATGCGAGCATGAAGTCGATCTCGTTCTTAGTGCGGCCCCTCGGCTTATCCATATCCACTTTCGCTGTGGCTTTTTATTGAAGAAGGTGTTCATGGCGTATAGCTTCTGGCTTGATTGGAAATTTAACAGCCCGTCTTCTCTATTGTTCCTTTGGCCTAGTACGAATTTTCCGATATATTCTTTGTCCTCGCTTTGTTTTGGTCCTATAATGTCATTAAAATCCCCTATCACCATTTCTTGATTTCATCTGTTTCCACATTCTCTCACTTTGATGACGTCTTCATTAAACAGTTCAATTTCTTCATCCGTGTACGATGAGGTAGGGGCATAAACCTGAACTATTTTTACTTTATACTTTTTCGATGTTTGTACGGTTATGCACGCTACTCGACCCGATATTCAGTTAAATTCAATAATGTTTTTCACTAGTCATTTCTTGACTAAGAAGCATACCCCTTTTTCACTCTCACTTTCATGTCCATTGTACAGCAGGGCATTTCCAGATGATAGGATATTGAATTGTTCTTATGTATTTCTTGTTTCTGCAAGTCCTAATATATCCCATTTAATGTTAGTAGCTTCATTTTCAAGGTCATATAATTGTGAATCGCTCAAAAGTGATCTGCAGTTGTATGTAGCTACTATTAATCACTTTTTGTTCTTTTCTTCCTTTCTGTGGAGTATTTTTTCGCTCTGTCCTTTATCAAGCTTGGTCGTTCCATATTGATAGCCTGGTTTAACCCGGGTATTCTTAGCTGAACTTTATACTCGCCCACCCGTATGACCAGCGTGGCGAGTTATGGCCAAAAAACTCTTAACATGGATAAAACATACAATCACAGGCCTTCAGTTGCCTGGAGGTCTTCTAAATGCTAATCATGGCAGCAATCAAAGCAATCGGAAGACAGAGGGGGCTAAGAATACCCAAGAAGATTTTATATCCATAAATTTCAGCAGCAAATAAATGGGAAAAAACAATATCGATACAAAGTGGTTTTTTAGTGCGATAGAGTTCATTATTTCCGACGGTGTTGAACTTTCGAAAATTAGTTTCATATAAAAGTTGTTTACGCACAAAGCGCACATTTTAAAAATATCTTATATGAAACAGAGTGTCTGAGAAGAGCGAGGCAAGATCAAAGTGTATTTTTTTATATAGAACTACCCATTTTCATTAGCTCATGGAATGCAGCTTGAAACGCTGCATATGCACAGTAAATTGTTCTTTTCTTACTTGCGTCGTTGGCAGATTATCGCCATTTTAGTAACATTTTGCTTAAAAACATGGTATCTAAAAATTCATTGTAGAAACAAAAAAAGCAGTTAGAGATACAAAAAAATACGTCTTTCTAATAACTATAGATTCGTTAAGAATTCTATTGAACCAAAATATCAATACATTGTACAGGGTGTTAACAATGTGGACTTCAATCTAAAACTTTTTAACGCAATATAACTTTTGTTTTTCAAATGGAAGTACCTGTATATTAATACGTCATTAGATAGACAGTTTACAAAGTGACAAATTTGCATTAACACTTTTAATAAATAAAATGCATGGAATTTCATAGCAAAAAATGCAATAAAACTGAATACGCCTATAAAAATAAAAGTATAAAATTATACCTACAGCGATATTATAAAATAAATCTTCAATATGATTTCCGTTAACCTTTAAGCAACTATTAATATCTACGTTTTTGAAATTAATATTAACAATACAATATTATTAATGCTTCGCAAAACAGTTGTGATTCGTTCCTCCATGTCATCTTTTTTACTTGGAGTTTTTCTATAAATTTCGTTTTTGACGTAAGCCCATAAAAAGAAATCCATTTTTGTCAAATCGGGTGAACGAGGTGGCCACTGAACGGGCCCACCTCTGCCTATCCACCTCTCAGGAAATTCATTATTTAGGTACTCATGAATTTAAGCTGTATGGTGAACTAGAGGTCCATCATGTAAATACCACATTCTTTCCTTGATATCATTAGGTAAACGATCAATTAAACGTGGCAATTCCAATTTTGACACGTATTTATTGACTTCAATAGCCACCTTACAAAATGTAGCAACCTTTTGAAACTTTTAAATACAGTAAATTATAATTTGAAAAAGGTTGATTTCACAGCTTAAAGTGTAAATGGAAATTTGTATCTTTGTAAATTGTCTATCTAATGACGTATTAATATACAGGTATATGACTATGAAGGCTTTCACGGCCGGTTAAATTACATTTAGGAATGTTTTCCGGGCTTTGAAGCCGTGGTCTATCGGAATTTCTTCCTGGCGTTTCGTCCACAACTGCGGTG